CATGACATGGGTGCACTTACACACATGCAGGCAGTACACTCATGCACATATAATTAAAACAAATATTTATTTAAAAAACGAGGCTGGAGAGATGGCTCAGTAGTTAAAAGCACTAGCTATTCTTGCAAAAGACCCAGGTTTGAATCCAGCACCCACATGGCAGCTAACACTTGTCCTAATTCCAGTTCCAGGGTATTCAACATCCTCTTCTGACCTCCATGGGCATTACATGACATGGGTTAAAGATGTAAATAACATCTAGAGTCTCATAATGGCCACAATGTGCAAGATCTGATCAAAACTGTCCATCACATAAAGAACCAAGGTCTTAACTGAGTGAAGAAAGACAAAGAATTAGCTACAAAATTACACAAATGTTGGGGTTATCTGGCAAGGGTTTTTAAAAGGCCAGCATAAAAATGTTTTGACCATTATAAACGTGTACAAATGAAAAATATAAAGTCTCAGAAAAGAAACAGGAGAGATAAGGAACCAAATAGAAAATTGAGACAAAATTAACAAAAGAAAATGAAAAACAAAGAAAACCTCAATGGGTGAGGCTCAACAACAGAATGCAAAGGGGGATAAAGAAGCAGTAGACAAAAGAGAAAGTTCTAGAAGCCACCCAATCTGAGGGACTGAAGAAAGAAATGAACAGAGCCTGGAGAACAACAAGTAGAGTTATGGGCTGATAGCAAAAGATCTAAGGTGTGTTGATGGAGTCCAGAAGGAAAGAGTATGGAGCTAAAAATAATCACCAAAGGCCAGGCATGGTGGCACACATCCCAGCACTTCAGAGGCAGAGGCAGGCAGATCTCTGTGAGTTCAAGGCCAGCCTGGTCTACTTAGCAAGTTCCAAGTCAGCTGGGGCTACAGGGAGACCCTGTCTCAAAAAAGACCAAAAAAAATTTTTTTTTAATTAAAAAAATTATCAAAAAATTCTCAAATTTGAGGGGGAGGGGAGAAAACTACAGATCCAAGAACCTGAGTAAACTTAACTAGGATAAACTAAAACAAACCTATATCAAAACACATCAAAACTACACCTCTAAAATCTAAACACTAAAACCTTACAGCAATGAAAGAACGACACTTCATATACAAGGGAAAACCCATCCTACTGGTAGCAAATTTCTTGTCACAAACCATCTGAGGAAATGGCAAAACAGTTTTCAAGGGCTGTACAAAAAGGACTGTCAGTGCAGAACTTTAAAGATTTATTTATTTTGATTTTATGTGCATAAGTGTTTGGCCTGCATATATCTGTGTACATCATGCATGTGCCTAGTGCCTGAAGAAGCCAGAAGAGAGTGTTGGATCCCTGGAACTTAAGTTACAGACAGCTGTGAGCCACCATGTGGGTTCTGGGAACTGAACCCTGGTCCTCTGCAAGGGGAACAACTACTCTTAATCACTGGGCCACCTCTCCAGACCCAACTCAGAATTTTATATCCAACAAACATATCCTTTGGGAATAAAAGAAAAAAATCAAGATATTCTCTGATGAAGGAAAACTAAGAGTTATCAGCAGGAGATCTATGAGGGAATGCAGTACGCATTTCTCGATACTCCTCTAAATTGTGTTTGGTGTTTGAAAAAAGATTATATTATCTGGTGTGCTATTACGTCTAAGACAGCTATTCTTTCAAAGAAAGGGTGAGAGGATTTTATGAGAGGAAGGGTGGGCATGGCTATGAAGGGGTGGTGTGAAGGAACTCTGTGTAGTGAGGAAATGTTTTTGTGTCTTGATTGTGATGCTGGTTACCCAAATCTACATATGTGATAAGGTGGTCAGAGCTCTGCGGCACACATTTCACCAATATCACCTCTTAGTCTGATAGTCTGAGATATGTCCATCTTAGAGAAAGCATATGAAAAGCAGAAAGGCTCTCTCGCTTGGTGCTGTGTTTGCAACTCTCACAGGTATACAGTCATTCCTAAGTGGAAAGCTAACTTAAAAAATACATTCTATGAACTCTCTATACAAATAGAGCAATCTCTAATAAACAAAATAAAACAAATAAATCCAACCGTGTTGAAGATTTAATGCCAGGACCCATATAGCAACCTATTAAAAGTAACTTTAAGGAAGAGTGATTTGACACTATATCCTAAGGACAATAAGGATTACAAAAAGGCAAAAAAATCTTAAACTGCAACCAACAATCATTTTAATTATTTTTATTTTATGTGTATGAGTGTATTGTCTGCATGTGTGTAAGTGCACCCAGGTCATACAATGCCCACAGAGGACAGAAGAGGGCATTGGATCCCCTGGAACTGGAATTATGGACAGTTGTTGCCGCCATGTGGGTGCCAGAACTTGAACCCGGGTCCTCTACAAGAGTAGCCAGTGCTCTTAACTACTAAGCCATCTCTCCAGTTCCCCAAAATAATCTTAAACTGCAACCCATAATCTTAATGCGGATAGTCTCATTATTATTTTGATACTAATGGGTCTATTTTGAGCACTGTATGAAAGAAAGCAAGTATGTCAGAATCATTAATAGCCAGGTTTGGGGGTATATGAACATGTGTGCATGTATGTATGTATGCATTTGTGTGTACATGTGTGTGTGTGTGTTGTATGCATGTGTGTTTTAGATATGAGATAAAAAGTATATAGATTGAAGATAGTCAAATACAAACTATTTAAAACTGAATTGGAAAGGAAATGGAAGTATAATTCCACAGTATATTTTCACTTACAAAGAAAAAATCATATTTTGTAGTTGTGCTGCTTGAAAAGGCCTAAAAATCAATGTCAAACCCAGAAGCAATGAACAGCATAAACAGTGGCCTCAAAACAGCTACAAAAAGAAAGGACCAGGGTTTCTAGGAGAGGCAGCTCGATCCAGGTCTCAGGCAGGAAGTGCACAGGTGAGCTACATCAATTTATCCTGATGTTAAAATGGCCAGGAAGCCACTGGAAAGATCTGAGTGTATTTCAAAACCCCTACTGACCAAAGACAGGACAACGTAAGCATCAATCAGAGTAATGGCTATGATAGATAAAGTGCATCAAACATGTTTAAACCTGAGTTCATGATGGCACTCAAAATAACTATATTGATTACCTTTGAAGAATACCAAGGAACCAACTCATTATTTTGAAAACTGGTAAATAAGGAGAAATATTTATCTCAAGTCAACTGTACCTCATAATAACCAAAGTTTTAATGAAGAGATGGTTTTCTTTACAGAAGATGTAGAGCTAATAAATGAAGAAATAACGATGGCCTCAAATCAATGCCACATCTTTGCAACTCTTAATGGAATAAAAATCTAGATAATTATCATCGGGTTCTGCTAACATGAGTAAAAGGGAGATAACCAGACCGTATGTGCTGCCTGATGAAAGTGCACACCACCACTTAGGAATTGGTCTTGGGGGAAAAAAAAAAAAAAATCTGAACCTGAGTAAGTCTCTAGCCCTAATTACCAGTTCACAGGAATAACACTGTGGGGATGCAATCAGCAAATCTGAGTTCTGGGAAACCCTACGGTGCAAACAGCTCAGTTCCTTCAACAAATAACATGCAAGGAGGAAAAAGAGAGAGACCGAGAGAAGTCTACAGATTTTAAGAGGCATGTCAACCAGTTGCAATGCAGCAATCCTATTTGGAGCCTGGCTTAAACTAGAGAGGAAAGCAATGAATATTGACCAACTATTTGATGATATTAAAGTCTAATTGAGATTTGATAGTAGGCTATTTTGTTTTGTTTTTTTGAGACAGAGACTTGTCATGTAGACCAAGCTGGCCTCAAACTCACAATCCTCCTGTTCAACTCCCTAAATGTCATGATTACAGGCATGGTTCAGCTGCTTTGATTTCTTTTTTTAAGTCTTTACCATTTAGAAATACATAGCATTTATACTTTAAATGCTTTGTCGTCTCACATCTGCTTCAAAATAATCTGAAGCCGGGGGCTAGAGAGATGGCTCAGTGGTTAAGAGCACTGACTTCTCTTGCAGAGGACCCAAGTTCAATTCCCAGCACCCACATGGCAGCTAACAACCATCTGTAACTCCAGTTCCAGGGGATCCAATGCCCTCTTCTGACCTCTGCGGGCATTGCATGACACGGGTGCACTTATATACATACAGGCAATACACTCATACACATAAAATAAAAATAATAAAAATATTTTTTAAATAAATAAATCAAAAAAATACTAATCTGAAGTCAGGGAGGAAGGTGACTAATGAAACAAAACTAGAAATGAGCTGACTGTTGTTGAGCCTGGCATGCATCAGAATTCATGGCAGTGTTCCCTGCATTTTTACAGGAATGTGAAACTTGCCAAAACAAAAGGTTGCTTGTTTAATATACTGATATAGAGTCATGTGTGGTGGCATATGCCTGTAATCCCAGCACTTAAGAGGTGGCGGCAAGAGGATCAGAGTTCAAAGTCATCCTGTGCTCCACAGCAAGTTAGGGGCCAGCTTGGGCTACATGAGATCCTACCTCAAAATAAAAGGGTGGGAAGGTTAAGGAGATAGCTGTCTGTAAAGTTCCTGCCACTCAAGCATGAGGCCTGAGTTCCATCCCCAGAATTCATGTAAATTTTAGCATAGTACACATGTGTAATCTCAGTGCTGAGGCGGCTCACCTGCTGGCCAGCCTAGCTGAATCAGCAAGCTTCAAGTACAAGTGAGAGGCTCTGTCTCAAAAAACAATGTAAAAAGTGACAAGAAGAACCTACATGTACGCATACATTCAAGGGACACCCGTATACATATGAGCAAGTACATATACAAAAAAAAAGTGGCCCACCACATACACGTCTTGCTCTTCGGAGTACCCCAGAAACTCTAAGCACAGTTAAATTTCTTCACTGTGGGTGCAGCTTGTCTGAGCCTCTCCCCCCTCCCCATCCCCCCCCCCCCCCCCCGACTCTCACCCCAGCCCAATTGTATCAGCTTCTAGACACTGTGGTCCTCCTTCCTCCAAACTGGAGCCACTGTTTGTGCCCATCCCAGGAGTGGCATGGCTCACCTGGGCCTCGGTGCCTCTTCTCCATCCAGATATAGCAATTGTTCTGGGCCACCCCAGTCTGTGAGTCCAGAAAGGGGAGACGCACACTGCGCTCTGCACACAGCCTTGAGTTGTAGCTCCGGCAGTGCTCAATGGCCTCCTTATAGAACTGGTCTCCAAGCCTACAGGAGACAAAAGAGCAAAGGTGTGAAACCAGGGAAAGTAGAAATATACCCAGAGGAAAGCAGGTTCCCCTGGCCTCTCCTCAGGAAAAAAAATCTGCATTTGTCGCCTTTGTTAAGCGACAAAAATACAACTCAAATCTCTAACACATTGCATTTCCTATTCCAAATCTACCAAGTCACTTAGAAGCTCCTTTAAAATACAACAAAGGTCCCAAAGTAAACCATCAGTAGAAGTGACCAATTCTGTCCTAAGACATGTGAGGCCCAGCTCGCAGAGGTGGTTCTGGAACTACATTCTGCAAAGGATTTATACAACATGGAGCTGCCACACCCCCTCTTCAGCACCGCACACTTTGTTCTCAGAGGTCACCAGCAAAGGCACTGTAGATGAACCCAAATCTCTAACCAACCCTCTCTACAGCAGCAGAGAAACATTTAGTATAAACCAAGACTACAGGACAGAGGAGACGTCCATTAAGGTAGAGCTGCTCGTTGTGAAGAGGAGGAAGATGTGAGGAAGGATACAGCCAGTCTTCAAAAACCACAGTTAAGGAAAAGTAACTCTGGCTGTTGGAAAACAAGCAAAAGAGGCATTGAAAAGAATATCTGACCCTCCCAAGCAAACTTCTGATGGATGCTGGGGGAAATCACTGTCTTCAGTTGTACACCACTAGTGAGCCCACCGAACTCCAGTGGATAGTTCCACACCCTCGGCCACACAGCCAGTTGTGCTAAAACACAGTGGAGTTATAAAACAAAAAGACATGAATGTGGAAAAAAGATTTGAGGGAAGAGGAGGAGGTTAATGAGAGTGGGAGAGACACAAGAGAGGAGAGGGTAAGAGTAAGCAGCACATGTTACATACATGTATGAAACCACCAAAGAATAAATTTACTTAATATAAATACAGCAGTTTGTTAAAAAATCAAAAAATAATCTTTTTATCTTGTATATGAGTGTTTTTCCTGCATGTATGTAAGTGTGTTCATGTCATACAATGTCCATGGAGACCAGAAGATGTCAGAGTCCCCTGGAACTGGAGTTACAGATGGTTATTAGGCACTATGTGGGTGCTAGAAACCAAACCTGGGTCCTCTGCAACAGCAATCACTGCTCTTAACGACTGAGAGATCTCTCCAGCCCCATAATAATAATATTATGAACTCAAAATAATTCAACATCCAGAGTTGAAAACACAAATAGAAAATCTCATCTGCAGGGAGGCAATCTGACTTGAGTAGAGTGTCTGTGACTCGTTGCTATCTTTGTAATATGGTGATGCTACTAATTTAAACATAGAGTCAAGACCAAAAATATAGTAATATAATTGATCAGATGCAAAATATAATCAATAACATCACATACTTAACAAATAAAACATGGGGCCATCCATGGAGCTAGTAAGTGGTCTAAGGAAATTCAAATATATCAACAACATAGCCTCAGGCAGGTGAACTTGATCTTGATTTAGGTCTGATTTGGAGAGGGGGGATGGCACAAGGAGAGGTAGGAAAGGGAAGAGCCAAAGAGATTGTAAAGGCAAACAAGGGAACTGAGTGGGTCAGTTTGAAGCAACATTATGAATTCCCTTTTGTTTTGGTTCTATGTAGATTTGAAAAAGCCAAAATTAGGGAGAGACAGTCTCTAGGTTAAGAGTAACATATTTCAGCCCAGCATGGTGGTGCATGCCTTTAATCCCAGCACACAGTAGGCAGAGGCAGGTGGATCTCTGTAAGATGTAGGTCAGCCTGGTCTACATAGTGCGTTCTAGGCCTGCTGGGGCTAGAGGGAGACCCTGTCTCAAACAAACAAGCAATAATAATAATAGTAACTTTTTCCTACATTTTTATTTACTTAGTTTTTGTGTGTGTGAGCACATATGTGTGTACATATGTGCTTGCATATGGGCATGTAAGAGGTCAGAGGAGAGTGAAGAGGAATTAGTTTTCTTCTTCCACTATGTGGGTCCCAGATGAGCTTAGTGGCAGGTGCTTTTTACCCATTGAGTCATCTCTCCAGCCAAAAAAAATATATTTCTTAACTAAAACATTTAGAAAAATAAACAAAGAAAAGTTGATTAAAAAAATTGGCGGGGGCGGCTAGCAAGGTGACTCAATGGATAAATATATTTACCACCAAGCCTAACAACATGAGTTCGGTCTCTGGGACACACATAGTAGAAGGAGAAAACTCTTGCAAGTTGTCCTCTAACCTCCACATGTATAACATAACATCATGGCACATGTACACTCATTTTACACACACACACACACACACACACACACACACACACATATACACAAATAAACGAAATTAAGGAAAATAGTCAAAATGTTTAATTGTAGCACAATACACATAAATAAATTTATATCTTAACCATTTTCAAGTGAACAGGCAACAGATTCAAATTAGTCACTCTTCATATCACTGTGACAAAATACCTGGCAAGAAGGTATTTTTCTCTTTTAAGAAAAGAGAGATTTATTCTGGCTCACAGCCCTTCTTTGCTCACATCTCAGTGGAACAGGAAGCAGAGACGGGACGGGAAAGGCTGACAGGCTATAAATCTCAAGGCCCACCCCCACAGAGATCCATTTCCTCCAGCCAGGCCCCTCCTCCCAAAGGTTCCACAACCTCCCAAATGAGCGACACCACTCAGGGACCAAGCGTTCAAACACATGAGCCTGTGGGGAATGGTTTATAATCAAACCATAGCAGGCATCAAGTGTGCTCGTGTGTGATTATCACTACCACTCACTTCCAGAACTCCTCATTCTGTAAAACTAAAACTCTATAACCGTTAAACAACCTTTTCTTTTCCCCCTCCTCCCAGTCCTACCAACAACCATTCTCCTGTCTATTCATTCAACTATCCAAGTACTTCATACAAGTGGGATCAAACAGCATGTGCCTTTTTGAGGCTGGCATATTTCACTTAGCATGCCATCTAGATTCATCCATGCTGCCATAGATATCAGAATTTCCTTCCTTTTGAGGACTGTGTATATTCCACATTTGCATATCAGTTCAGCAGTCAATGGACACATGGATTGTCCCCATGCATTAGCTATTATGAATACAACCATAGAGAATACTCTATAGACTATCTATAAAAATAGTCTATGAATGCAAGGACACAAATGTCTCCTCAAGCCACTACTTTCAATTATTTTGAATTCATGTCCAAGAATGGACTTTCTAGGTCATACAGAAATTCTGGGGGCTGGAGAGATGGTTTAGCGGTTAGGAGCACTGACTGCTTTCACAGAAGACCCAGGTTTCATTCCCAGCAACCACATGGAGGCTAACAACTGTCAGTAACTCCAGTTCCAGGGGATCTGACGCCCTCCTCTGGCCTCCATGGAGATTGCAGGACACAAGTGCACCTACCTATATACAAGAAATACACTCATACACATAAAATAAAAAATAAATAAAATTATTTTTTTAAAAGAAATTCTGATCTTAGTAGGTTTTTTTGTTGTTGTTGTTGGTTTGTTTTTGTTTGTTTGTTTGTTTTGGGGGATTTTTGGTCTTTTTGAGACAGGGTCTCCCTGTAGCCCCAGCTGTCCTGGAACTCACTATGTAGACCAGGTTGGCCTTGAACTCACAGAGATTTGCCTGCCTCTGCCTCCCAAGTGCTGGGATTAAAGGCATGCGCCACCACACCCAGCGATCTTAGTAGTTTTTAAAAAAGAAAACTATACGGTTTTTCACAGTAGGCAAACTTATATTTCCACCAGCAATGCACAGGGTTCTAACCACTGATCACTCAACTACCACTAGTTAAGAAAGCAAAGGATTTGTTTATTTGTTTGTTTGTTTGTTTGTTTGAGACAAGTTCTCCCTGTAGCCTCAGCTGGCCTGAAACTCAATATGCAGACCAGGCTGGCCTCCATCTCACAGAGATCCACATATGTCTGCCTCCCAAGTGCTGGAATTAAAGGTATGTGTGTACCACCATGCCCAGCAAAAAGTAAAGTTTTAAAGAAAAGTTTTCTATATTATTTTTTAGAGAAAATCAATGGGTCAAATTCTACTCCAGGATTTTTATTTTATTTATTATTATTAGTATTAGTGTGTGTGTGTGTGTGTGTGTATATATATACATATGTCATGCCATACATGTGAAGATCAAAAGGCAACTTTGTGGAGAGGATCCTCTTCTTCCCCCTTTACCTGGGTTCCAGGAATCAAACTCAGGTTGCCAGGCTTGCACCGCAAGCACCTTTTTCTGCTGAGCCATCTCACCTACCCACTACTAAAGGATTTAAAGCAAACATCTTATGATGAGAGAATACAGCATGGAAGGTCCTGGGGCATCATTTGGAATTTGTTGGCAAGCATCTGGGAAACAAAATTGTTCCACTTTACACCTCTGAAGATACTTAGAGTCACAGAGAAAGCATGGCATGCTCAGAAGGTGGCCTGGCACTTACAAAACCAAACTACCATCAAATCCAAATAATCACATGGCTAGAAATGAATTGGGGAGGAGAGATAGAAGCCCTAATAAAATGCTATAAAATGCACATAAGTTGATATAATCAAAATTGTTGACAAGGACCATGAGACTTTTCAAAAATGAAGAATCTTAGGCTAGGTATGGGGGTATATGCCTTTAATCCCAGCACTCAGAAGGCAGAGGCAGGCAGATCTCTGTGAGATGGAGGTAAGCCTGGTCTATATAGCAAGTTCCAAGCCAGATGGGGCTACAGGGCGATCCTGTCTGAAGAAGAAAAAGAAGAAGGGGGGAGGCACTTTTCAATAGGAGATGTGGGGGGAGGGGTGGCGGGAGGAATCTTTTCAACAAAGTGTTCACCTATGCCACACCAGTTTGGATGCGCCTCCCATTAAGGCAATGTGCCTCTGAGAAATGAAACCTTTACAGGCAGCTCAGTCCATGCAAGATGATATGGGCTGACTAGGTCTCCAGCAGCAACCACCCACACTATATTGATGGGAACTGATAAGAACACAAGGAGAGGCTTCCCATA